TTCTTTTTGTTTCCTAATCCTAAAAAATCTTTACTGGGCCCTCCTTTTTCTTCAGTCAGTAATATCAAATAGACTGCATTAACGTGGTTTAATTCCCGGGACCCTCAGTTCTTTAGGGATGGACTCCCGGCTGGTATTCTCTCTTACAAAGGTGTCTTAAACTCGATGGAGCGTATGCTGGCAGGTAGAGTCTATATTATTCATTTTTATCTTTTACTTTCATTTTCCACAAACTGCTTGAAGTTCAGTACTCATTTTTTAAGAATTTGCTATAGGGCATGTGTGCTCACCAGAGAGACAGAGAGAGAGAGACAGAGAGAGAGAGCGCGAGAGGGAGAACACCCTCGAGAGGGATGGTTATACCTTAGTCCCTTCTTCATTCTCTTTGAATTTGGGGTACACAAGTACCCGGCATGTTCTTCCAAGCCACCAGGTCCAGGACTTGAACCATACAGTGGACTATGTGACATTCAGCTGTCTTAATCACCACACCACTAGCTAGTCCCATATCATTCTTAAAATGAAAAAAATTATAGGAACAGAGAATGGATTCCTGGTTGCTAGGAACTAGGGGAGCAGGAGGGCAGGGCGGAGACCGGAGTGCTGGGTAGCGTGGTGTCGGTGGTGCGCTCTGTATTGGTGGAGACCCTCATTGACTGTACCAGGGCCACTTTCCTGGCCGTGACCTTGTACTCCGGTTCTACGGGGGGTTTGTTTAACCATTGAGAGAAACCGGGTGAAAGCTCCACGAGCTCTCTCCATAGTGCAACTGAAATCTGCATGTACGGGTATCTCAAAGGTAGTTAAAGCAAAAAGATGGCCAGTCCCTGAGCTTCAGGTCACTGTGTCGTCTCTGCATGGGGGCGTGAACCAGCTCTCAGACCGCAGGTTGCAGCTGGAGTGGTGGAGGAGCTGTGAGGTCGCAGCCTGTGAACTCCGTCTTACACGGCATCCCGTTGGCCTTGTTTCCCTCCAGCATTCTGTGGAGCTGGCACAGTCGGGCCCCAATCCCTGGCCTTTTTGGCACCCAGTTTTCCGCTCCTGACCTGCGTTTCCGTGGCTGCCTGCATCCCTCCGCCCGGCGCTCAGACATGCTTGCACGCTGGTCCCCTCACACCAGGGCCCTTCAGTCCCACCCGGCTCCCCTGAGGTGCCCCAGGCTGCATGTGCACATCTTGTCTCTCACTCCCAGCCTGTTCACGGCAGCAGGCACCTGCTCTGCGCACAGGGCCAGGTGCCGGGGGTGATAGACCCCTGCTCCATGCACAGAGCTGGGCTCTTGGACCCCAGGCATCAGTCAGGTCCAACACTGCTGTCCTCTAGTGTGGTCATGCTCGAGGTGGGATGCGACTGGGAAGCCTGGGCCTATGTAAAGTTGAGTGGGGTCCTCGGAGCGTCAAACAATGGGTTCTGAAAGAGTTCAGAGGACTCCCCGCACCTACCTGACCACCGTAGATAGTGGCATTCTCGTCTGTCCACCTGAGGGCACGTTCGGGAAGGGTTCTGAGTGTGACTAGCAGAGGCGCTGGAGAAGGTGCTGTTTCAGCTGAACCATGAAGGAGGCCTACAGAAGGGGTGTGGGGCCGGAGGTGCCAGCGCACAGTCCAGAGATCCAGGGCACGTTCAGGATGCGGGTGGGCCACGGTGGAGGTCAGGGTGAAAAGACCTGCGACTGCTACCTGCGTAGTTACCTGGCCGACGTGGGGTGATTTGGTGTGCGAGGACTCTATAAATACACTCCAGTCGCACCTTTTCAAACCAGCAGGTGCTGCACCGTGGCTCTGCCTGGAGCTGTATCTACCCTCCCGAGGATCCTTTCGTGCTTTCCAATTTATTGCTGCTGTTGTTATTTTGGTTCCAAAGCAGTACGAGTAGATCATTCCACGGATCGTCTGTAATCCTGAACCGTTGCTGACGTCGGCCAGACGGCATGCGGGTGTGTGCAGGGGGCAGTGTCTCTCATGGCCTCTCTACTCTCTGCAGGGCTGGCGAAACGCGTCGGTGCCCGCCTGCTCCTGGCCTCCACGTCGGAGGTGTACGGAGGTGAGTGGAGGCTCCCGTGGGACAGGGGCCGCTTGCACTGACCCATCGACGGTCTGCATCTTGTCTGGGGTGAAGGAGTCAGAGCTGAGCCCAGGACTGTGGCCTCTGTAACAGGCCCATCCTCACGTGACAGTACAGAGGCATCCCCTCGTAGCCCGTTGTCACGTCTCCTTTCAGGAGGACAACCTCTAGAGGACACTGTCACATCACCGGGCTAGCAAGGACCTGCCTTTGATGTTTATATGAAAGTGTTCCTGCTTCTACTCCGGAAGTACCCCTCAAGCCATATTCTCTAGGGCTTGTTGGCCCGCCTAGTCACGCATGTATTGGTCGGCGTGAGTGACACGTGTTGCATGTCCGGGCTGTGGAGAGCTCGCAGGTCAGTGCTTAGCGCTCACTGGAAAAAGCAGCAGGCGCTGGTCACCTCACCTGCTCCATAACGAGTTCTGCAAGGGCTGGAAGGAGTAGAGAGTGCCAGAAAACAGCCTGTCTTGGGACCAGCAGTTAGCGTAATGGCTATGTCGCTGGACTCTCACGTAGTCAACTGTGGTTCGCATCCCGGACCCAGTGGCCTAAAACTCACACCAGGTGCGTGTGCATGCGTGCCCAAGATCCCGAGCGGAGAATGGAGGAGAAAGGATTGTGGCATGGCCATCCCCCCCTGGGGGGGGATTTCTCGCTTTCTGTCTCTCTGTCTCTCTCTGTCTGGCTGGCGAGCGCACGCACCCTATAGCAAAAACTTCTCCAAAAAAAAAAGAAAACAGCTTGTCTTACCAACCTGAGCAGCGTCCTCTTTCCCCTGCCCACCCTTGGTCCACAGGTGAGGTTAGGAGTGGGTATGGATCCTGTATTTTCAATTCACGTTGCTTTCTCTTCAGCCCCACAGCCATGCAGGGCTTTGGAGAACCCCTTAGCCAGTGCAGTGGGAGCCAGACCCTGACGTGATGCAAATTCTCGAGTCACACGATTGCTCTAAAAGAGGAGAGGAGCGGTGAGGAAGTGAAGGGGTAACCAGAAGAGACACTTCTTTTTAAATGTAAGGAAAAATGTAAGAGGCATAGCTGCAGAGAAACCCTACTAATACAGTCATCCTCTGCAGTCCCTGTGAGCAGGCTGTGCCTCGTCTGCTCTTGGACGTCCTGGGCGCCTTCCCCTGTGCTGTCTGTCCAGAAGGGCACCACGACACAGCCACCTCCTCCTGCAGCCCCTCTTCCCCGCACTCACCTGCATTATCTGCCTGTTGTACAGGAGCTTCGTTCTTCAGGGTCTTCAGTAGTTTCAGTGTGTAACTCACGGGATTCACCAGTGTAACTCACGGGATTCACCAGTTGTTCTATATCGATTTTGTTTTTAATTTGCCAGAGGACAGGTGCACTCAGGACAAGGAGACAGAGAACGGGGTGGTAGGGACAGAGTGAGAAAGCGTCACTTGTCCATGGGGCACGGTCACACTGTGACCCCTTCTCTTCCATTTCTCCCTCCTCTCGAGATTTGGGGGTACGCGTCTAGCACACGCCCAGCACACGCCCAGCACGTCTGTCAGGCCACCAGGCCTGAGACTCCAGTCGTGCAGTTGGCTCTGCAGTACCCAGCTGCCGTGGAGCCAGCTGGACACCGGGTGGCCTGCCTGACAGGCAGTGGCTGAAGGGACCCGAGGATTTACGGGGCGTTTGCTCATGTGTTAGGGTCTCACAGAATGCTGAGAAGTGGAGCCAACTGGAAATCACTTTGACTCTAGACCTTTAGGTGTGTGATAACAAAGTGAATTTTCTTGGTGTATGTGTGTGGTTTTTCCCCCTAAGTGGTTTTTGTGAGAGAGCTTTCTTAGAAGCTTGGCATCCCTGCTTTCATGCCTTCCAATTTTGCAGTTTCATCCATTTTCTGTGTTGTAAAGATATACAGTGATTGAAGCTAAAAAAATAAACAAACAAAGTGGGAGGAAAACAGCAGCAGCAGCTTAGCATCCCGAGCATTCAGTTCCGGCTCCCTGGTGGTGCCCGCCAAGGGCTGGTACGTGTGCCCAGACTTCTTTCCAGCCTTTGCCAAACTGACGACTCTCTTTGTGGAGGGTCCAGCGTGCCCGGCTCTTATCAGAAAGGCGGGTACAGGGCGTCTGTATAGTTCTGTGAGTTTCAGTCCTTGGCTTTTTTCTCACTGGGAGTATGTTTGGATTAAAAAAGGAATTTGTTACTTGGTTTCTTTAAGTGGTTTTCTGGCTCCATTTTAAAGTGACTGACTCACACTGGAAGACAGGAGCCAGGCATTACCGTCTGTGCGAGAGGGGCTAGAGGGACGGGCCCTAGCGGGTGGGCGCACGGTCCTCTGCCTGCCCTGCTCCCGGCTGCCCCGTGTGCAGGTGCGTCTCAGCACACCCTGCTGTCGACACGTGGGCAAGCCCTGGAGTTCCACGGGGACGCCGTGCCTTCACATTCTTGTCAATAAATACCTGCTTCCCTCTAAGCGTAGATGTGGAGAGCACAAGATGAAACGCTGTCTTCCCATGAATCACGTTTCATTGTATTTTGTCTTAATGTTGAGCGCAATTTATGGAAGAGGAGGGAGACTTCGCATTGGGAGACTTTGATCTTTTATTCATTTTCCTGTAAAACACCCATTCGTCAGTAACAGAGGTGAAGCCGGCGTCCCACTGGGACTCAGCGAGTGGACTATAACCTATGGGCTTCTCTCTGCTAGTCACTCCATTTGAAAATGCTTTCTCACATTCCCTCTCTCTCTCGCTGTCTCTTTCTGGTGAACATATGTGCCCTATAGAAAATTTTTGAAAAGAATAATCATAGTCTTTAATAAAGTTAAATAAATAATTAAAAAGTGTTTTTTTTTTAAATTTACCTAGCTGTTCTAGAGCTTCCTTTTGCATCATAAATATGTCTTTTTCTAGGCAGATGAGCTAGAAGGTAGGGAGCGTGAAAACACAGTCTCGTTCTCCCCCTCCATAGATCCTGAAGTCCACCCGCAAAGTGAGGATTACTGGGGCCACGTGAATCCCATCGGTCCCCGGGCCTGCTACGATGAAGGCAAGCGCGTTGCGGAGACCATGTGCTACGCCTACATGAAGCAGGTATGTAACTGCGTCCGGGCTGGAGTCGAGCCGAGCCGGGCCACGCGGCACCCTTGCACGCAACTCTGGGTGCCAGAGGGCCGAGTGCCGTGGTGACTGCCCAGGGCAGCTGCTGGGACGCCCCATCCCTCTCCACTGTAAATCAGTGGTTTTACCAACAGCAATTTTTCATCTCTCTCCTTATTTTAAACATGATTTATAGGAGGACCAGCAGGTGGCATGGAGGTTAAGGTGCTAGACTCCCACATGGCTGACCCGATTCAAGTCCCAGAACCAGTGGCTTGAAAATCACACCTGTCATGTGCATGTGTGCCCCAGATCCTGAGATGGAGGAGAAGAGACTGTGGGTGGCCATCCCCCCCGGGGTGATTTCTCACTTTCCCTCCAGCAAGCACATGCACCATGTGAGAAGCCCTGAAAAATAATCGTAGTTCCTAGAGATGAGCTCTCAGGTTTGGAAGGCTGCGGCATGGCTATAAACAGCAAGCTCCTCTTTCCTTCCGTGAACGGGCACGTCGAATCACTGCCGTGCGCAAGCTGTTCCTATCTGCCCGGTTTGCGTCCGCGGCGGGTCCCAGGCAGGTCCTCTGCTTTGTTCCCTGACCCTGATGAGCCGTTGTACATTTCTGCCTTCTCCCACACGAGCGGGGTAACCTTCCAGAAAAATAGAGTCTATGAGGACATTTTGCGTAAGTCACCGAACAGATGAAAAGTGCAATATTTAGGGTTTTATCATATTAGCTGTTTTCTAATATTTGACATTTTATAATTTAATCAAAATTAAAATGGCATACTTTCAGAAATCACAGAATTCAGTAGTTAGATGAGTGAATTCGGATTATAAAACTGGCCTCAACGTTAACGTCCCCCCATCCACGTCCTTTTGTGTTCGGAGTCCTCTGAGGTGGGCTTGCATGGGAAGGCGGCCGGGCAGGGGGACTCTGCCCTCGACCTTCTCGTTTCTATTGAAGGGTGAGTAGTGGGGCTTGGGTGATGGTTTGTAAGGGTGCGTATTACCCCGCGTGTGTGCTCACGGGGGTTATGGAAGTCGGTAACAGTGCGAGCATGTATTGAGCAGTGACTGATGCCAGGCACCACCTCGCCGTGTTTCACTCACACGGGAACGCCGGATCCCCACACGTCGTGGGCGGCAGGGCTCAGGAAGGGAGCCCCAGGGACTGGACGCCGGCCTCACAGCTCCTTATGGACAGGCCTCAGGGTGGTAGTGGGTCTTACTGCCCTGGGTGCAGCAATACATCTAGTTCTTCACCTGTGTGGACGAGGGGAGGGAACGCCCGCTCACAGTGTGTGAACGAGAGGAGGGAGCCCCCGCTCACCCACCCTGTGCGGACGAGGGGAGGGAGCCCCACTCACCCACCCTTTGTAGACGAGGGGAGGGGGCCCCACTCACCATGTGCAGACCAGGGGAGGGAGCCCCCGCTCACCCACCCTGTGCGGACGAGGGGAGGGAGCCCCACTCACCCACCCTTTGTAGACGAGGGGAGGGGGCCCCACTCACCATGTGCAGACCAGGGGAGGGAGCCCTCGCTCACCCACCCTGTGCGGGGCGAGGGGAGGGAGGCCCATTCACCCACCCTGTGTAGACAAGGGGAGGGAGCCCCATTCACCCACCCTGTGTAGACAAGGGGAGGGAGCCCCACTCACCATGTGCAGACCAGGGGAGGGAGCCCCCACTCACCCACCCTGTGTGGACGAGGGGAAGGAGCCACCGCTTACCCTGTGAGGAAGTTCTCCCCCCCCCTCCCCGGGTACCGGGTGGCTGTGCTTCGCTGACAAGCACCAGGTCAGAGAATGCGGGAAGGACACCTAGATCGCCTTCCACCATCATGTGAAGTCTGAGAGTTGCCCCGTGGAAGACAGGCTTGGTGTTTTCCAGGGTGGAGGCCATGGGTCGTGGGTCTCAGATGACAGGTAGCACTGGGGGGGCTAGTTTACCCTCCTCGGGGCTGTCTCTAGCCAGCTGAGGGCTGCCGTCTGTCCCTCTGGGAATGACACCAGGGAAGGCCCCTCTGGGGGCACACGGGGCTGTGAGTGGATGTGACGTCCTTCCCCACGGCCCTCCCCGTCCCACTGTGCGGCCGTGAGGGAGTGGCTGCGCCTCAGGCCCTGGGGTGTCAGAATCCGTCTGGGGCCAGTGGTGGAGAGGCGAGCTTGAACCCACGCTGGCTCTCCAGGGCATGCTGCTTTCCCCTTCTGGCCGTCGTGGCTGGCCTGTAGGTTCGGAAGATTCGGAAGGTGGCTGCACCAGAGGAGACCACGCAGCTCCGAGTCCAGGGCAGGGCCCCTTCGCAGCTAGCACAGCCCGGGACGATGCCCAGAGCAGGAAGTGAGCGGTGGGTCAGCAGGGGCAGGGCCCTGAGTCGTGAGCTGTCAGCCCGTCTGAACGGGCCACCTTCCGAGGTCATGTTAGGAGGACATTTATGACTTCAGCCATTAGGATTTGTGCTATCCGGAGAGGAAAACAAAACAGAAGGGTGAACCAGGTGGAATGGTATGCCTTTGCCCCCCGGCCCTTTTTTTAAGTTTATCTCTTCCATGAGAGAAAAAGGGGGTGAGGTAGAGGGAGACAGGAAGGGGCACCTTGACAGGGTCTTCACGCTGCGCTCCAGCGCCTGTCCCAGCAGCCGGGATCATGGGCGTGTGCGTGCCACCTGGCGTATGCAGGGAGGCCGTGGGACGGCACCTGGGACCATCCGCATGGCCCGGCGCTGCAGTGTTGTCTTAGCTGCACCTCCACGGTCTGGCCTGGCCTGGTTTTAAGTTAGCATCTTAGTCATTTATTTTATTATTATTATATTTTTTGGAGGAGGTTTTTGCTATAGGATGTGTGCGCTCTCCAGAAAGACAGAGAGAGACAGAGACAGAAACTGAGAAGTCATCACCCAGGGGGATGGCCACACTGCAATCCCTTCTCCATTCTCCTCTCAGAATCTTGGGCATACACGCACACGTGCCCGGCATGAGTTTTAAGTCACCAGGTCTGGGACTCAAACTGTGGTCTCTACATTGGAGTTCAGTGACATAGCCATTATGCCAACTGCTGGTCCCAGCATCTTAATTTAAATTCTCATTTTTTATACGTAATGGTACAACCCCTTAAGGATAAATCGTTGTGTTGTCAAGCCCCTCTGGTATGTTTGTGTCTTTGAATAAACCCTGGTATGTAAGGATTGAAAATCTGAGCAAGACCAACTGGTGAGTAATCTTTTATTAAAAATGTTCCCTTTTCCAAAGGATCCCAAGAAGCGTCTGAGTTCTTTGAATGAATGAAATGTTCCAATGTAGTCAAAATAGAATTTTGTTTCGCAGAAAAGTCCGCCACACACCCCTCCCAGAAGGAGACAGTCTGCTGTTTTCCAGCAGGGAGGAGCCAGAGCTTTCTCAGAGAGCCCGGTATCTCCGGGAGTGTGGCCGTGACGGAGAGGAGCCGACCGCTGCCTCCGTGTGCCTGTGGACGCAGCGGCTCTGCAGGCGGGCCTCTCACGGCTGTGGTCAGAGCTAGTGTGCGTGTGAGCCGGGCCTGCACTGGGGCCCACCCGCTGAGCGGCTGCCGCTCACAGAACCACAGACATCAGGGCAGACAGACAGGGAGCTCCGAGGGCTGCCACTGTGGGACCCGGCAGCCATGGTTCTGCCTCGGCTGCTGGCGCTGTTCTTGAGGGATGCGCGTGTTCTCTTGGGCACAAGGAAGACCAAGGGCAGGCACGGAGAGCCGGCTGCCCACATGGGGGCGCTTCCTCTTATTGATCGCATCCCTCCTGTTCTGGACCAGGTCGGCATGGGGGCGGGGCAGTCCTCTCCTGGCCAGCCCCCCCACCCACGTAGTCCCCACTTCACCTTCTAGCAGCTTCCGTCACTGAGAGCAGTGATCACGCTGGTGTTCAGGGTCTTGGCACAGACCTCTCAAGGAATGGTGACAGTTTAAAGGAGAATTCAGACGGAGGGTTCTTTAGTCCCTGCAGGTAGCATTTCTGTCCTTGGGAGACACTTGGGGAGGGAGGAGTCCCTGTCCCTCACCCTACCTCTCGGGTCACCTCCTGCCAGTGGATCTAGACCTGCCTTTAACTGGCTCATCACAACCTGCACGCCCAGCTGGCTGCTCCGATGGGAAGGAGGTGCCCCGCCCAGCCCACCCTGCCTCCACGCGTGGTGTCGGTCTAGTCCCTGCTGGCAGAGAGCCCCCGGGACCCCAGCGGGGCCTCGCAATCCTAGGGACCTGGTGGGGTCCTTCTGAGACACCCTGTGTGTGGTCACTCTTAGATACGTTAGTCTACCCAGGGGACAGGGACAGAGGGAGGGGCAGATGTCAGGTTTAGAACTGTCACCTGGGAGTGGATAGTGAGGACCGCAGCTTGCTAAGTGGGCTCTGAGTTCTCTTTGCATCCCTGTATTACTGTCCCATTTCCGAGGTTAGGGCCTTCAGCCCAGGCTTAGTACTCCAGTGGCCTCCCAGAGCCTGAGCAGGGGTCGGAGTCGGGCCCACCTCGTGCTCAGGCCCCCTCGGCCTGCCTGTGCGACCTCCGTGCTGCTGGCACGCAGGCCCTCCTGCGTGGGGCTTGATCGTCCTGGTGTCACAGTCCCTGTGCCTCCTGCTGCAGTCACTCACACTTGCAGGGCTGCCCTTGTCCTTCCTGATGTCTGAGTGTCCTGACTCTCAGGTCACCCTGGGGACCAAAGCACAGAGCGCACAGTGGACCCCGCCGTGGCTGGCACTGTCAGCAGGTGGCTGTCTGAACGGTGGCCTCGTGCACACAGGCCCTGCGTCTAGCTGTGGTGGGGACGTGGACACATGGTATGGTGGCCGGCAGGGCTCGAGCTCTCACAGGGGCAACAGAGCGTGGGCCAGGGTCGTGGGTCTTTGCTTATTGGCTTACAGACCTGGGTTCTGCCTTCAGTTGGCCCCTGTGGTCTGGTGGGCACTGCAGGCAACCAGGGGTCAGGAGTCAGTCGCTGGCCTGTCCCCAGGTCTGAGATACAGAACAGTGACCCCTTCCTCCAAGGTGTGCAGGCCCCAACCCTGCTGCCCCACACACAGCTGCGTGGGCCCCTGCTGACCGTCCTCCCACTACCCACTGGGCCTTACCACGGGGACTAGAGGATCCATGTGTCACATTGGTTAATGGACTGTACGGGGTCTTCAAAAAGTTATAGAAAATGCACATTATGAAAACATACTCACGGGTTTCAATTTCCCACCAAAAATAAACTAATCATTTCATTTTCCACCCAACATTTTGAGGTCCCCCACACACGTTGAACAGGGTCCGTCCTTATCATCAAGGCAAACCGCTCCCTGATGCCACCCAGAAAGACGGCCCAGCTCACAACTGTGGGAGACGCCACCTTCAGAGGAGAGCAGGTTTCCTCTCTGTTTGCCTCTTTCTTCCCTGAGTGAGAGAGCAGGTGGCAGCCCGGTGGTGAGAGCTGGGGTGCCCCAGCAGAAGGGCTGTGAATGACGAACGGACAGACAGGAAAGCAGGGTGGGCGGGCCGGGCGTCTCTGACGGCGCTGCAGCCCCAGCCGGTCTGCGTTCTACATGCTTTCTGTACCCGCTGCTGCGGGGCGCCTACACAGGCCCCAGGCCCCCCTGGCTGACGCTCGGCTTTTTCCTCTCTGTGGAGCCAGCAGTAGGTGATGTCTGTTAGAGTTCCGCGTGCCCTGCAGCCATGCGCAGAGACTGACCCACTTTAAGGCCCAGCACCCTACCAGGCCTTGATGCCGTGACGCCCCAGCCGCAGCCTGCCCTGGGTCATGGGCACTCACGTGTCCGGGTGTTTGGGGAGCTCTCCGGACACGGGCCCAGAACACCCTCACGTCGGTCAGCCTCAGTGCCACGTGTACTGCTGCACCACGCCTGACCCCAGAACGAGCCTCAGCTGGAGAGGGCCTCGGGTTTATCTGCATTTAATTCAAGTTCAGGCTTCATGTGTAGCTAATCTCGGTGAAAACGGGACAGGCACGCTGCCTTCCAGGAACCCTGTGGTTGCCCTGCCACTGGCACACCCAGCCAGGAGAGTCACGCTATACTCCTTAGCCTGGATGCAGCCACCCGGAAAGGTCAGAAGAAGCAGGCCTGTGACAGGTTGGCTGGTCAGTGCCGGTCATTGCCGGGGTCCAGCCTCGGCGTGGGTGGGTTATCTCGACGAAGGCGGCGAAGGTGAACAGAAGACAAAGGCCTCGATGTTTTTTTATGCACGTCCTATGCCGGACACCCCTCAAAGATCGCTCTCTGAAGAGTGACAACTGCTAGGAATTATCGTGCGTTTTTATTAAAAATGTGTTACATATAAGTAAATGGGAGAGGGGCTACATGTTTTAATTATTAGCTCATAAAGTCTTTTAACAATAAAGAACATAGATTCTATTCAGGGGTGGA